GATGGTCGGAAGCGGAGTGGTCGAGTCTTCAATGAACGTTTTGGACAGGAAATCATTGAAGCTATCCGCGGTTAACTGGGCATCAACTATGGGATTTCCGAGATCGTCTCGAAGGATGGGATACTGCGTCTTCCTCTGAGTTCGTATTTTTCTAGAGAAAAGTTTCGAGATATTTAACGAATGGTTTTCAGCAAAGTGGACCTCTTCGGCAAGCTGTTTTTCTTCAGACAATCTCTTAGCTCGATCAAAAATATCACAAATCAAGGGCAGAACAGAAACATCGTTCTGAAGATGGAAACGACGATAAAGCCAGCGCAATCTGAATTATCATCTGGCTTATTTGATCTAACCGCAAGGTCTGACCTGAGTGGCCAGGCGTGTGAACGGGATGGACTCGACTTAGGCTAAGTAACTATTTTATTATTCTGAGTCCTATGGGCCAGTTGTGGTTCTAGGATTTGCTCATCTTTACTGTTAAGATCAAGCTCCCTCGTAAAGTTGGGGGCCGAGTTTGAGCAATCCTTGCTTCTTGAGGGCGTTTTAACGAGGCTGGCTTTAACTGACTCAGTGATAATGGGCTCAGTTAAAGAGCTAGATGGAAGAGGAGCCACTGCAGGTAAGAGGGAGGTTTGGTTGATGCCCAATGGAGATTCTGCTTTAGGGGCAAACGACCGATGATTTGAATTCCGGAGTGGCTATACGTTTGTTAATGGAGGAGAAACTCTTCGTTGCAGTGGAGTTTTATCTCGACTAATAAAGTTTTTTTCCCCTGAGATATTGAGAGGAGAGCCCCAATTGGAAGAAAATAAAGTCTTCTTCTATCGACGAAAATATTTTGACAAGAATTTGTGGATTTTTGCTCCGAGATGAAAGTCTTTTAGCTTCAGCGACTCTAAAGTTAAAGTCGCATGAATAAAGAAAGTGCAAAGCGACATCAATTGGCTGTCTACTCTTAGGAACATTTTTAAAATAAAGTTAAAACTTCGTTTGTGCCTGTCTTCTGTCTCACTAGCAACCAGGTCATTGGGAGGCATGAGCTTCTCGCACTGCCGAAACGTGAGTGTTGGCAACTTTCCTTCCAGAAGGACACCAAAAACAAAAAAACGGATCCGTAACGAGACATAAAATTGTTAAAATTATCGAGTGCCCCTAGATCTATTTTATTCATATGTACAATGGGTTTTAATAGGATTTTAGTATCCTTCAGATTTCGACGAAGAGTTGCATGAAGTTTCGTGTCGAACAAGCAAAACAAGACTTTAGTTCAAAAGTTTATAGTGATGATAGCCGCCGAAACATCAAGGAGATATGAATGTAGGTATGATGAAGCAATTTCTGAAGGCTATCAATATTGGTGGGCCAGACAGTACAATTGGTACTAAGACATTTTAATTCAATAACGGAATGCAAACTTGAAAAAAGACGGGTAAATGACAATAAGGTACTTTTGGGTCAAGTAATCCACCTAGTCTGCTGCTACATATGGAACCCACCAAATCTGATGCAGTAAGCTGAGTGCCCAATCAGAATTTTCTGATTTGACGACTATCATCCGCCAGATTACTACCAGGTTCAAGTAACAAATGGGTTTTAAGGCAGACTTCAGATAATGCTCTTTAACTCGACTGCGAAAACCTCGCGCTCTTGGTGAGATTGGAACTCACAGCAGCAAGAGGAAGGCTTCATTACAATCAACGCTCTAGTCACATGGCCCACGAGGCCCCACCGGCAGCCGTGAGCTGAAGCATATTTGGGTGAAGTTACCCGCACAAACTACTGTCGAATCCATTCGTAAGATCGCAGATTCTTTACAGTGACTTCAAGTTAAAGGAAAATAAACGGGTTCAAAAAGTCAACGTACTGGAGCAATAAATACCAGTTTTACTAAGACACCAGCTTAAAAAAATCGCTTTACGCGAAATCCGTTAAAGGAGACGATTAATCGTGTGCCGATTGTCCAGCAAATTCTACTCGGAATACCGGGCTGATTTTGAAACTCACAAGACATATCTAATTGTTCCTGCGAACAAAGTGTTTTCCCGAAGTTTATACTTATTGGACTCCCCCAATAAAACGGCAAACAAAATTGGCTTGAAGATGATTTCAGCAAGCCACCGTTACGGCACATGGTTTCTGTCCCACTATAGTCATATAAGATTTCCGCAAAATTTTTGCCAGTTAAACGTTTTAAATTCCTGAAGATGATTCCTATACCAGCAGCTTGTTTTCGGCGAAATTTTTCCCAATGAGCAACACCTTCTCACGGACAGTACGTAACTATGAAGCTATCGGCGCGAGAAACTTTAATCTCCTAAAAATAATAACTGATGACCGCTGGCCGTGTTAGATGTCTGTTTACCTCTAGGAACAACATTAGTAACTTTACCCGCACCAATACTTTAAATCCAGTGTTTCCGAGATGAACTTTTAGGCCATTAAACAATTTTGACCAATCAACGTTCAGTCGAATTTGCGCGGGCACTATAGCTTTGTGTTCGGGATGTGCTTATCATCTAAAGTTTTTGTCCTATCTTATGAATCTAAACACAAGATTTTCTTAAAAAGGCAATGAATAACTATACACTATTGCTAATTTTGGTATTCGTCGGAGCTGAGGATTGTAAGACACCCTCAAGATGTTCACTAATGACCCAATTTGTTCAGATTTTATGCTTATGGAATTTCACGAATTCTGCATGCGTCCACCAAGCAATGGTTTTTATAAGGTCTTAAATTCGGACGATCTTCTGCTTCACAACCAGATTGTTCTTTACTGGAATTCTTCATCCACGCGCAACTTTGCTCCGTCATCACATCGAGCGACTACGCACTCGCCTTCCGTATGTCCGGGAGTTACTATACGACCGGCCGGTCGATACGTCAGGAGATTTCTCTCCGATGGCGCCGTATGTCATCTGAATGAAGTTCTTTTTGGCGCTATGCCCCTTTTTATATTTGGGTTTCATATTATAAATAATTTTTTCCGTAGTTGTTTCTGATACAATTGTGCATAACTCTCCATGATTGGCTCAGTCATGATTGCAGCAACTTTTTCTCCCAGTTATTTGCCTTGAGTCGATCGTATCCTTTTGTATCATGGTTCGTTGCTGACCCCGGTACGTCCCCTGTAACAGTCCTGCCTAGCTCTAATTTCTAAACCCCTTTGTCCGCATACACATGAAGATGCCGCAGCTGCTGGACCACAGATTTGGGAATTGAGAATTTGCTGACAAGAATAAGTTGATTCGAAATTACTCTAATTTAATTGACGGGCCACTTCTCCGCAGTGACTAATAAACACTTTTTTCAGGCAGATAGAAGGGATTACAGCCTGACCCACCAAATCTGTGTCAGCACCAGCGTCATTTCCTTCGGATTTTCCAAAATGCATTTACAGAATTACGGGTGTATGAACTACATGCGTTTCTTGCTTAATTTGCAGCGGATGAGGATACATTGGAGGGAGCTCCAAAGCTAGTCTGTCCAGTCCAGTGATTTGTTGGTTTGTCTGGGATATTATTAGAACTGCACTATCACATTCTAACAACGTTATACTTAAAAACGGCTGGCGATCAAGACGGCCACTTTATAACTGGTCGAACCACTTGTTACTTTCTAATCTAAGGTATTCATCCTTTAAACCTCATATTCAGGATGTTACCCTACGATGGAATATTTCAGTCGCGCTTATAGAAAATGTTTAGCTATGCGCCTGCCTATATTCCCTTTCCCCACCCTTTACATGCCAAAGTCTTTGTCTAGATGTCCAGATGTATTTTACTCTGAGAAGCTCAAACGAACCTGAAGCTCGGCCGTTTTGGTGAAGACATTTGCATTGAGCAAGCCTCTGGCGTGACTGTTAACACCGTATGTATTTGATCGAGGACTTAGCATCTGACTGGTTGATTGTAAACAAAATGCTAACCTGTGTAGTAGTCTTTGAATATCGGTGTTTTCTTGTCCTTTACTGCCAAAATTCGTGGCTATGCTGGTTAATACAAACGTTCTTGAGGCGCATTCCTTAGAGACTCCTAGAAAATGTATACGCTGGCATCGGGAAATTTTATTTCTTTCGGGGAGCACTTAAATCGCGGAATTGATTGTATAGCTTTTTAGAAACAGCACTTCTCTTTGTCTGAGTACTGCCAAATTTCATCCAAACTTCTTTAGCCCCAGTTTGCTTGAGCAGTTCTTGTTCAAGCATTATGTGAGAAAACGGCAGCTCAAAATTGCTAGTGGTTTATTGAGGCTAGAATATGATAATTTCACCGGTAAATGGAACTAATTTAGACATTTGACTAGTTGCAATTTCGTCCACTAAGACTGAAATCAGTGTAAGGTTGACGGAACAAACCTTGTTGCTTCCTGTCTTCATGTGTAAAGTTTTATGTTGCATGCTGATTACTTCGGCTGAATGGCTGCGCAATGTTCGCAAACGTAGTTGGACAGTAAATGGTGAGCTGAATTTACGTATAATTAGGTTAGTTGCGGTATCAACATGAGCACCATATTAAGCTTATCCGTTGTTAGGTAGAGGGCGTTGACATAAGTTTCTTCTTGTCTTTTCTTGTGACGTTTCAGATGAGAAGGCCCGTCAATAAATACAATCCATAGAACGCGATGAACTGTCTACCAATAACTAGTCTTAGCTACTTCCATCGACTCTGTACAAACTACGAGTGCGATTTTGGAACGCAAGGAAAACATACCTATGCCACACTTGGTCTTTGGTAATTAAGTTATTTGTCATTAACGCCCACAAAAAGCGATTTCCTAAGCAATGACAGGTTTTGTTTTTAAGCCAGTACCAAGATAATAGAGAGTAAGCTAGATGACATATGTGGCATCAGAGACAAAGCGACCAGCACGCGTTGAGACTGTTATTGGTTCAGTTTTATCTCTCGCAACAAAAAAAGGTTTTCGATTGCGTGAGTTCACTATTTCGTACAGCCTATTTTAACTGTCTTCACTGAGGAAATCACAGATTCTCCTTTTGTTTAAGAACACAGTTCTTCATACTCAAAAATCGCTCGTGGTAATTCGGGAAAATAAAGTTTTGGTTATTTTGCAGACCCTGTTGGCGTGGCTGCGGGACTTCCAAGCTCGGGTATCTGGCACGAAATCAGAAGGTCGGCTGTTTTATCCCGGTTAATTGTTAATCGTGTCCAATTTTTGTGTTCGCAAGAAAAATACTCAGTACCTACGAGGAAGCATTAGTCCTTTTGACGGAGCGCACTTCGCCTTTTTGCTTCCCTTCCAACCCGTACGCTTTCAGCTTCACTGAATCAGTATTTTAACTAACTGTAGGAGCAAACCTTTTCGAGTCGTATAAGTACCTCGGTCTCATCTCGAGCCATAAAAGCACGGAATACTAACGTCTTTCCACACATCCTGCTACAGACACTTACATTTTGAACACACAGAACATGCTTCAGAGCCGTATTAGGAAGCTGAGCAAAGAATCGACCGAAGCTCGCCGCTTCTTCCACACCAAAACAGCAGAATTTCTCAGCTTGCTTTTATTTTTATGCAAGTTGATCCTTCTCTTCATTATGTCGGGGACGTTTTGCTTATAATAGGCATAACTGTCATTTACTGTCTTCACTCTTGTACTGGAGGCTGATGCCACGTTATTTCTGCCAACATACCTGT